AAATGGGATGAAATCTACATATAAAAAATGAAAGATTTTTAAATAATCGGCAAGTTTTTGAATTCTAGAATATGTTTAATTTATTGGGTTCTGGAATTGTAACATTTGAAAGGAACTGTTCTTCTTTTGAACTATTGGAAATTAATGATAAAGATATTTAAAACTTTGAAAACATTTTTGTATGTTTAAATCTGATTTCTCAACTAAAGTTCTCTATCATTTTCTGATATATCATAATACTGTATTTCCTTGACTAAACACCAGGACTCAAATAAACTACAATCTTTGAATAAAACCCAGAGAATAAAGATGCTGTTAAAACGAAAACTTGGGTCAAAAAGTATGAGTCAAAAAAGTTACATGTTAAAGTTCTCCACTGTATAAGGTAATGCAGTTTAGAATGACAGGTAAGGAATTTAATTAATTAAAAGTCTTCTTCTTCAAATTGTCTAGAGTTGGATAACACTTTCTATTCTAAGGTTCAAGGAAACATTTTTTGAAATAAAATTATAAATATTGTTGAAAAGTGAGTGTGGGAAAGTCACAATTGAGTTCACAAGTCAAGAGCTTATCAATCAAAAGGTAATTAGGAAAACTCTGGTTTAAACTCACTGTCTCTTTTGAAAATAGATGATGAATTTGAACCAGAAAAATGTAGTCACGATCTTGATTCCTACAATGACAACAAAGCAAACACAAATGACAATGTAATAACTGAAGTGGAAGACAATGAATAGGGTTAACTATGAAAAGAATAATTATTTCAAGTATTGTAGCTGTTAAGCTTAAACACAGTCAATAGTTTTTGCTAGTTTAGTAAACGTATAAGTAATTAAGGTATGTTTTTCAGTTTTTATCCATTCATCTCTTGTTGCAAGGTAATAAATTAGTAAACGCATAAGTAATTAAGGTATGTTTTTCAGTTTTTATCCATTCATCTCTTGTTGCAAGGTAATAAACTGGAAGTGTAAAGAAAAAGAACTAAAAAGATTAGTGATAAGTCGAAACTTATTCAAAAATGTTTCATCATCCAAGAAAATGAAGTTTTGCCTTACAGGCTCAGGAGTTTTCATTTGTATTGCTCATTTCCATTATTTTTAATCCAAAATCCATTTTGATTTTTTATCAATGTTCGAAAGTAACTATTTTGAACTGGAAGTGTAAAGAAAAAGAACTAAAAAGATTAGTGATAAGTCGAAACTTAATAAATTCTAGCCATGAAAAAACCCTGGGTCTTCAAATAAACCCAAGGGAATAAATACTTTTTGAAAATAAACTTCTGGGATTTAATTGAGGAAATACAGTATCTCCAAGCTTTAGATAAAATCAAATACCAATATAAATTTTGTTTATAGTTTTCAGATATGTTGTTATATACTGTTCGTGTAGCATCACCAAGTTTGGAATTTAAAGTTAAAAAACAAGTTTTTCTTCAAGATGTTGTTATTGAAAAAACAGAACCAAAATTTGGAGCAAATTTTTGCTTCATTTTATATACTAATGCTAAGACATTTCTATTGGCAGCAAAGTAAGTAATTCTTAGTTTATTACCTGTTCAGATTCTATTTAATGATGAAAGTGTAAAAAAAATTAATTATGATGATTTATATTTATAAAAGTATTCTCATAGTTTTATAATTTAATAAATCTAAAGTGATACAAAAAAATTTTTTTTTTGCAATAGAAAAAAAAATGTGTATATTATACAATCTCAAAAATTATTTTGAGATTGTATAATATACAAATTCAGACAATTCAGACAATTTTAAAGAAAATGTTGTTTATCAACAAATTCAGACAATTTTATCAACAAATTCAGACAATTTTAAAGAAAATGTTGTTTTAGAATGTAAACTCTTAATCAATGTCATAACTAGCTTTTCATTTGCCCAGTGCAAGGTTTCATTTTTGGGCTCCTTAATTTTTTTCAGGAAAATAAAACAGATATGATAAAATAATTGTTTATAAATAATTTTTGTGTACTATACATGTGAAATATACAAGATCATTTACATGTACTTATAAATGAAATTATTGTATACAGTCGACCCCCCTATAATTACGGTCCCTATAATTACGATTCCTATAAAACTACGAAAAAATTGTGACCGGTATCCGTAAAAAACAGTAAAAAACCCCCTATAATTACCTCAAACGTCATCGGGCAGCTGAACTACTTTCCCGCCGTCTGTAGCGCCAACTACGGAGAGATTTCTATCGTTTGGACAGTATTATATAAATTATATATAAATTAGGTACTGTACATATAATTATATATTAATTATATATAAATTAGGTACTGTATATATAAATATATATTAACTTAATTTATTGTAACTTTATTATGATTATATATATTTTTTCCGCCGCGTGGTGTTACGCTACGGAGATTTTACGCTAACTATCATTTGTACAGTATGTAAATTAGCTACCGTAAGTCTAATACATTTGTAATTTAAGTGTAATTTTATACATTTCTTGTGAAAGAAACATTTCTTATTCAACGGCGATAAAAATTATTTATATTAATGATGTCTCCGAAGTTCAACGAAGTTTTCGCAGAAAAATAAGTCATCAGAAAACTTTCGTCATTGCTAATGCTTGTTTTCGTC